CCTCCCCACTGTTCAAAGACGGAGCTAAATGGGATTCATTAGGAGCCTGTTACGTTAAAGTGCTCAAATGAGAGCTGAAATCACTTGCGGTGGGGCAGTTACCAACCAAAGCTGATCACTTGGAGCTACACAATTCCTGTCTGCAAGATACCTATGCAGAGTAGGTGCATTCATATAAATACAGTTTGTTCTTGAAGTCTCTCCCCCTCTCAAACTAGCTGTTAGAGGAGAGTTCATTCAGACCCTGCCTACACATTGAACCAACTTTGTGTTTGGTCGGGATTTTTCCAAGTATAGCATAAGTTGGAGATGAGTAGAAGAGCATACTCTGGAATCAGCCTCCTTCACAAAGGGGCCATTCAACTTGGCATCTTCTCCCATTTCATGGTGCCATCTCAGGTTCTGATGGATCTGCACTGAGCCCCACTGAAGGCAGTGCATTCCCATGGCAATTGGCTCTGCCTCCACAGTGTAGTCTCTCACATTCACACACTACTCCCCCAATACGATTTATCCCCCCGCCCTCGACCTTGCTCACTGCCTACTACAGGCCCCCCCTGGCTTCAGCTCACTCTGCTGAGGGCAGTCTGAGCCCAAAGAAGAGTGGATGTGCTGCAGGCAGGGCAGAGGAGAGACCGGACTGTCCCTCTGCACACCAATGCCCTGACACCAACTGGTAACTGATATGTAAATATAAATATAATCTGTGATGGGGATGTGATGTTGGATTATGAACTAAATTTTGTACCTGATCTCTTCTGGGTGGGTTTTTTATTGTCTTAAAAGTTAAAACAAAATTCAGAATATATTATCTTAATACACTTGACTTAATATATCAACATGTTTGTGCCTTGTTTTATTAATCTTGAGAGTAGCTGGTATCAAATGTAAATTGTATTGTTATTTTACATCATTTTGCCATGGCTTAATACTCTACTAAACATGAAAAATGGTGAAACTATAAGCACGCAGTTCCATGTTTGATGTGCTAGCTGCGGCAGTTAATGCTGTTGTCAGGCTAGTGCTAATTGAACTGATGCAAATATACAGAGATGTCCTTGCAGAATTGGATGTTACACAAGCTGGTCAAAATACCAACGTTAACTTTAGCTCCACTGAAAACAGAAAAAATTTAATTAAACATCCACCTTGGGTTTATGCAAATACTATTGCACAGATCAGATCAAACAATAAAAACTCACCATCATTTTCCTGTGTACTGTGTTACCAGGCTCTAATTTAATTAGAAGTCAATAGGGAGATTAAGTGAAATCAGGAAAAGCTCAATACAGTTGTATACTGAAAGAAAAAGAAAGGGGTGTGGTAAAAGGCTCCGAGTGTACTAACCAGGGGTAATCAGTTGGCAGACCACGGGCCAAATCCAGACAACCAGACACTTTTGAACGGAACCAAAATCTTTTAATTTACTTATTATCATCATTATTTCATTTGCATGGGCACACTCACCCTGCCTAGGTGCTCAGCATGATGGGATTGCTTGCCCAACTGAGCACTTTTGGCTGGTATTTGATCCCTTGTCGTCTTGTTATTGGACACACACCTGCTTGATGATGAGTTCCCAATTGTAATTACATTTTGTGAGCTGTCTGGGAGTTTTTCATCCATTTATGAACATTTACAGCTTCACTCCTCGTGAACTTCCCTGGGCATTGCTGTTCCCTGTGGTAAACATCTTTCTGTCTCAGAGTCTTGTGATATGCTCCTTCCACTCAGGCCGTTCCATGTAGGTACCAGACTGAAAGATTTGTGGAGAGATGGAACTCTTGCATTTTCTTTTCCTTTTATGTCCAAAATTAATCAGTCTGACACTATGTCATGTATCAAATGTAAGGAATCACAGAAGAAGATGCTGTACCCTAAGCAGAAAAAAAACTTTATTCGAATAAGGAAAACAAAATCATCACTAAAGCCACTCTGTCTCTCTCTGCTTCAACAAACTGTAGTTTCTACCTACAACTTTCCCCAACCCTTTCCTGCCTGGTTTTCTGAGACAGCTTTAAAGAAACGGTTCACATAGCCATGCACTAGTCATGTGTAAATGATCAGCAGGACATTTTCATAGCATCTGCTAGAGAGGTTGATTCTGTAAGGCAGTGAGCATCTCTTGCAAGATGCTTAGATACTGCCTTGATGAGCATAGTATCAAGGGATTCTGCAGCTAGAGATGGAGTTTTCTTTACTCCTGCTGAAGTTAGCGGGGGGATTCACAATCCTGAGGACCTTGCCACATCAACCCCTGTGTTTTCATTTACGAAGGACACAGATGCACTAAAATAGTTTATTTCACACCAAACTAAGATATACATTCCCAACATAACTTGCATAGGTTTTAGAGTAGTAGCCATGTTATTCTGTATCAGCAAAAAGAACGAGGAGTACTTGTGGCACCTTAGAGACTAACAAATTTATTTGAGCATAAGCTTTCATGGGCTAAAACCCACTTCATCAGATCCATGCAGTGGAAAATACAGTAGGAAGACACACACACACACAGAGAACATGAAAAAATGGGTGTTGCCATACCCACTATAACAAGAGTAATCAGTTAAGGTGAGTTTCCTTTTCAAAACAATGTATTAAACAACGAAGTCAAAAGAAAAATGATTACCTACTAATAAAGTGTGTCACCAGCACTGGGACCAGTTGGGAGACCTCTGAACTCTGTGGAGGGTACAGATGCTATCACAGAGCTGTGTAAGCTGTGAAGCTGGACTTCAGGCCCAGGCAGAGTGCTCATATCAATGTGTCAGGCACCATACTACAGCCAAATGTACTCCAGTCAGGGGAGCCCACTTGCTGCTCATAGGAGAGGCAAAGACAAGACATGCTGGAATCCACCTTAGAGGTGGGCGTCATAATGTCCAATTGAATGGCTGCCCCAGTTGAGCCTTTCCCTCCCCGCAAAACAGAGGTGCTCAGCAGCAGAGCTCAGAGCACTGCCTTTCATTCTCTCTCTCCAGTCTGGAAAAGAGCCCTCAGGTTTCTTCATTCTGGTCATTTTCTTTCCTTTTTCTTATCTTCTCTTTTTCCTTAGTGTTTTGCAAGTTAGTGAGAGAGAGGCAGAAGGAAGGAGAGAACAGGAGAAAGGACTCCACACTTCTCAGGCAAGGAGCCTAGGAGTCAAAGAAAACTGAGGTTTACATAATCAGGGAAGAGTTTCACAACTCTTTGCTTCCCAATAGGTGGCATCATAATTTTTACTCGTTGTATGATGGGGGAATAGAGAGCTACAACAATTCTACTGTTAGTTAAACTCATGCACCTACACTGAGTCACTGGTTGTGCAGTTTAAACTGAAGGACTGATTTGGCCCATGTTGTGACTTTAAAATGTTAATACCTGATGCTCTCATTAAGGTATTAATGAGAATCTTGTAACCAAAGGTGCTTTTACAAAACATGGTAATTATAAATTTATGTATTCTTATATAATATAAAAACTACAGCATTTAAAATCTTAACAAGATGCTTTTAAAATCTTAACAAGATGCAATTTTCCAGGATTGACTGTGTATGAAATAAAGTGTGGGCTGCAGCCTTTAGAGTGCTGTCTTCTGGGTTAGCTGTGCTAAGCAGCTTTGGATTGTTGCTGTTATGTGGGGTACCATTTGACATGACTGTAGCAAATGTACTATTTCTTATATTGGGTAAGTGAAAAGAAATTGGGCTTGATGGAAAAAATGGAAATGCAAAATGTGCCTAGTGGGAGATTATTTTTACATGGCATGAATCTGGGATCAGCACAATTATAAGTTAAGACCACTGGGTCTGATAGTCGTTTTCCAGGTGTTTATCCATTCTGTTATTCAGCAGTGCAGAATGTACAAAATAAGGGCTCACAGGTAATGCAGGAGGTACAGCAGCAGAGGGCCGTTCAGCTCAGTGTGAGGTTGAAGGTGGATCTATGCTCCCAAAAGCAGTTCTGTACTTTCCATAGCATGGCTGAGGGATCTACCTCATTATCCTAGACGTGCTTTCTCTTTCAGAGAAATGTGGTGAGAGAGAAAGAGATCTCACCATGGGAAAATGTAATACATTACCTCATATATGGAGGGGGCGGGTGACATTTATTTTCTGGGGGTCCATAACTTCACTTGGTGTGAACACAATGCTTATTGCTCAGCTTAAGTCATTGCTTGTTTTGCAATTCTGCTATTTTCCATTAGAAATTGATATTGACGGTATATACAATAAGCTATTAACCTTTTCCCTTTTGTAGGGGTTGGTGTTGATGACATGTTCAACAGACTGGCAACAGACTAATCCTAAAAATAAAGTTGAAAAGTGGATGGCTGAAACTTATGCAGAGGCAGCAGTGTCTATCACAATCACCACTCTCACTGATGTTTTAGTTTTCTACATAGGGATCGTGAATTCCTTTCAGTCTGTGAAGTCCTTTTGTCTCTACATAGGAACTGCTTTCATCTTCTGCTATTTATACAACATCACATTTTTAGGAGCTGTTCTTGCTTTAAATGGTAAAAGGGAAGAAGGCAACAGACATTTGTTAATTTTCACAAAAGTGAAGGACATTGTTCAGCCTCATCGCTCCTGCTTGTACAACATGTGCTGTGTAGGAGGGTTTTCTGATAAATCTTCTGGGGGAGAAGGTGAACATCCAATGAACAAATTCTTTATGAAATATTATGGTCCTTTCCTTACAAAGATCTGGACCAAAGTGTTTGTGGTGTTGCTGTATGAAGGGTTCCTGGCTAGAAGTATTTATGGGTGTACTCAGATAAAGGAAGGTACAGTCCTGCGAAATCTGGCTAGTGACGATTCTTATGAATTCGGTACTATGACTGGGTACTATGACTGGGAAGATGAATATTTCTCAGAGTACGGTCCTAGGATTATGGTCACTATCACAGAAAATGTGGATTTTCTTGGAACTTTATTGGAATCCATCCATTCGTAATGACATTGAGAATCGTATGTATGGAGTCTTTAGAAAATAACTCCTATGTGGAGAAGAGTCTCTCAGAGTCATGGCTACGAATGTATGAGAATGTTGCTAGAATTGGTTCACTGAATATAGATACTAAGGCGTTTTTCATGGGTAATCTATCTGAACTATATAAATTATTTCCAGAGTTAGAATGGGACATTGATATTCGCTATCAAGAAATAGCAGCCTCACATTTTTTCATTCAAACAGTGAATGTTACTACTGCAGTTGATGAGAAGAACCTTTTACACCAATTAAAGACCTAGCCCAAGGACTGTAAGATCCCATTAATGGTATATCACCCAGCATTCATATACTATGATCAGTATATTGTAATAGTGCCAAACACCATTCAGAATATTGGAATTGCTACTGGAGTCATGTTGTGTGTTTCCTTGCTGCTTATTCCCAATCCGCTCTGCTCCTTGTGGGTAACTTTTGCTATTGCTTCTGTTATTGCTGGAGTTGCTGGTTTCATGACATACTGGAATGTTAATCTTGATTCCATATCTATGATTAACCTTGTCATTTGCATCGGGTTTTCAGTAGATTTTTCTGCTCATATATCCTGTGCATTTGTTTCAAGTGAAAAGTCAACTGTCAATGAAAGGGCAGTTGATGCCCTGTATCTGCTAGGTTACCTGGTGATCCAAGGTGCTATCTCCACTATATTAGGAGTAATTGTGCTCTCTGCAGCAAAAGCTTACATCTTCAGAACATTTTTTAAGATTATGTTTCTCGTTATCTTGTTTGGAGCTGTTCATGGTCTTGTTTTTATTCCAGTATTTTTAACATTTTTTGGAATTCGTGGCAGATCATCACACAAAAGGGTAAATATAAAAACAAGAGGAAAAAACAGCAGCTCTTTTAGTGACGCACAAAGTCCAAGTAATGTATCAAACAGCTTCATGCTGAAGGAAAAATAAATCCAGATTGCTCATCAATTTACATACAATTTAAAATACAGCATATCAGCCAAAAAGAACATGTTGAAGGTTTCAAAACATTAATCTGCAGATTAAAATTTAGCATTGTATGAAAATGTTACAGTTTTGTACTGTTCAGGTTTAACACTTAATGGGATTAGCTCAAAGCCCACCAGGGAACTTTTAGCGCACCATAGCAGGGTCCACATGGACAGTTACTGCACAGCATGCAAGTGTGCTGTAGATTATACCCCGTTTGCCATGTACAAACTGTTCATCCTGATAAGCCCTTAGATCATTAGAGAAAACGTGGGTTAAGTAAAATGATATCACAATAATAGAATATTACCAAACCAAAAAAAGTTCGTTAAAATACATTTGAAGTTAAAAGCATGTTCTCTTGATCTTATATATTCTGTGTTAAATGCCCAATAAAGATTTCAAAAGAAATATAAATTATGCCAGTATTATTTGAGCTTTCTCATAGTGTACTCTCATGAAGTTTAAATGTAGGCATCCCTATATTACCATAGAAGCAGACAAATTGTTAAAGTGGATGATTGAAAACCAGGCCTAGGAGCAACAGCAGCACTTAAGTACTGCGGCAGCTGGCTACTCAGCAACAGCAGGTTACTGCACAACAGCAGGAGCAATCTGGGACCTATTGCAGCAGATGTTGAGTTGCCATCTGGCCTCATCATCAGCCACCCTGTTGAATAGCCACCCTCTGACCCAAATGTAACCAGATGATTTGGTGACATTTGAAACGGTTGCCACAGTTTTCCTGTGAGAAATCTGCCTGGCCCAGCTCATCTGTAGTAAAGAACAGGCCACCTTTAAAGTGTTGGAGTTTGCAGGAGCAATAGGCTACAATCAGCCAGACTGGATGGACATACAGATGCTGGTTACAGAGTAAAATCTGTTCTCCTGGGACACAGCCCAGGTCAGCATAAAATGGTTTTGGGATCTCTGGTGATGGTGGCTTACTCTTGAGATCCACTCTTCTGCAGCACTTGTTTAGTTATTGGTGGTGGAGCAATCTAGAAAGATTCTGCCACATGGACCATGAGAATGAACCGTTGGTATCATTCCGAACAGACAGCTGCAGATGTGCATCTCCTGGACGACAACATGGAAGCTGAACCCCTCCCAGGGAATGAGACTTCCTCAAGGGAAAGATGCAGGATCTCTTTTGTAACTGCAGACGCGACTGATTTGACCTGCCTACAGTAGAGTGTAATGAATAGGGCCCTACCAAATTCACAGCCATGAAAAATGTGTCACGGACCATGAAATCTGGTTTCCCCCTGTGAAATCTGGTATTTTGTGTGCTTTTACCCTACACAATACAGATTTAAGGGGGAGACCAGGATTTCTCAAATTGGGGCTCCTGATCCAAAAGAGAGTTGCGGGGGGGGGTGGCAAGGTTATTTTAGGGGTGTCACATATGCACTGACTTCTACTGGTATCGGTGGCTGCTCGCCCTCCTCCCTTCCCCTGCCCTGACTCCACCCCTTCCCCATTCCAACTCCTTCCCCAAAGTCCTTGCCTCAACTCTGCCCCCTCCCTGCCCCTATTCCAACCCCTTCCCCAAATCCTCATCCCAGCCCCGCCTCTTCCACGTCTCCTCCCGTGAGCGCGCCATGTTCTGGCTCCTCCCGGAGCTTGCTACAGCTGTTTGGTGGCGGCAAGTACTGGGAGGTGGGTGGAGGAGCGGGGGACATGGCGCGCTCAGGGGAGGGGCAGGAGGCGAGGTGGGGCCGAGGGGATGGGGAGGGGAGCTTGGCTGCCAGTGCGTGCAGAGCACCCACTCATCTTTCCCTGTGGGTGCTCCAGCTCTGGCGCAGCCACGGAATCGGCATCTATGGGACGTCATGGTATTGCCATCCTTACTTCTACGCTGTCTTCAGAGTTGGATGGCTGGAGAGCAGTGGCTGTTGGCCGGGTGCACCACTCTGAAGGCAGAGCCCTGCCAGCAGCAGCCCAGAAGTAAGGGTGGCAATACCATACCATGCCAGACTATGAGCTGCAGAGACATTCCAGCCACTTCTGGGGAGCTCCCACACCGTGATAAACGCTGCCCCAACCCCCTGCCACAGCCCTGAGTCCCCTCCCACACCCAAATTTCCCCAGCAGCGGTTGGTGAGGCTGGCCTAGGGGCTGCCTGATTTGTTTGGGCAGCCCCAGAGGCAGAAGCAAGCCTCAGAGACAAACCATAAAAGAACAAGCCATGAGTTTCAAACTTCTCTCCATTTGCTGGGGATGCCTTGACTCAGTCCTCAGCCTTGCAACATTAGAGTGTGGGAAGCTTGAGTAATCTGATTCCGGAGTCAGATGAAGGATCAGTCAGCTGCTCCAAAGGGCATCGGGGTACTGGGCTGTAGGAACCAGGGAAAGGCTGAGAGGAGTTGATATGCACCAGAGAGCGAGTGTGAGAAGGGCCCTGATAATCCTGAACAGTTAAGTAATTTGCAGACCCAGATGCACATTTTCCTATTGAGTCTGGGTGAGCAACAGAAACAAAGCCAGCATTTAAAGGACAGACAGAAGGAGCTAATCAAAGAGGAGAGAAGCCATTTGGCTGTGGCTAAGGTGGATGAACAAGTACCCAGACTGGAAAACGAGACCAACGTTTTTGACGCTCACAGATCCGGAGACAGGCTTCATTGAACACTGACAAATGCAATACTGGAAACCAGTCTGGCTCACCTGTGTGTTAGTATTGTTAAACTAGATGTTAAGTTTATAAGATTGTGTTTAGACTTCATGAAATGCTTGTAAAACACTGCATATATTAAACTTAATTATAAAAGCTTTACCCCATGTTAGAAGGTTCTCTTAAATCTTTGCATTGTAAATCTCTGTAATTGTGTAAGTCATCAAGTGGAAAAGGAGCATTAATTAATGTAGAAATGCTGGCTTCCTACAGAAAGTTTTAGGTCCTGCCCACCAGGAAGGCCCAATGAAACCAATGAGCCATTGTGAAACATCAAAGAACAAAGACTTTGTTGGTTGCTCCCCCTACACACCATTGAAGAGAGAACGTGCAGGTGGACATGCCCTGTCACAGCTTGAACTCTGGTAGACAGGAATAAAAATCCCTGACCAGCAAAAACGGCAGCGCTATACTGCTTGGAATTTGGAGAAGGCAATATTTCTAAGCATAAGCAAGGGATCCTCAGGCTGCTTAGCTTGGGTTAGCCCCCGGGTATGTCTACATTATGGAATAAGGTCGAATTTATAGAAGTCGTTTTTTTAGAAATCGGTTTTATATATTCAAGTGTGTGTGTCCCCACAGAAAATGCTCTAAGTGCATTAACTCGACGGAGTGCTTCCACAGTACCGAGGCTAGAGTCGACTTCCGGAGCGTTGCACTGTGGGTAGCTATCCCACAGTTCCCGCAGTCTCCGCTGCCCATTGGAATTCTGGGTTGAGATCCCAATGCCTGATGGGGCTAAAACACTGTCGCGGGTGGTTCTGGGTACATATCGTCAGGCCCCCGTTCCCTCCCTCCCTCCGTGAAAGCAAGGGCAGACAATTGTTTCGTGCCTTTTTTCCTGCGTTACCTGTGCAGATGCCATACCACGGCAAGCATGGACCCCGCTCAGGTAACCCTCATCGTATGTCTCCTGGGTGCTGGCAGACGCGGTACGGCATTGCTACACAGTAGCAGCAACCCATTGCCTTTCATTCAGAAACACGTGCCTGCTTATGAGATATTATCTTCCCCATCCAAAGGACTATCAAAAATAATAAATAAGATTAACAAAAACATTGTGGGGTTATGTACTTCGAGATGCTTTGCAGACACTGCTACAAAGTAGCAATTACAATTTTGTTTATTACTACCTTGTCTAGAGACCCTAAGGATTTTTTTGTTTTTTGTATATGACACTTTTATGCAAACTGTAACTGCAGATGCTTTACAGCATTAAATAATATGAACCAGTAGAAGAGAGACCTGAGGCATTGCTGAAAACAGATGTCATGATCACTAAAATCCTAATGCAGAAGGCCTGGGGGAAAATTAAAAGACACAGCTGAAGCAGAAGATGGTATGATTTAATAGGGTTTGGGGGGCTACTTTGCAAAGACCCAGAAGCCCCAACAGCCTATATATCTCATGCACAAGCTTCCAGGGGCCCTTGTTAGAGCATAGGGTTGCCAGATGTCCGGTTTTCGACCAGAACACCCAGTCAAAAAGGACCCTGGCGGCTCCGGTCAGCAGTACTGACCAGGCCGTTAAAAGTCCGGTTGGTAGTGCAACGGGGCTCACAGGCTCCCTGCCCGGGTCTGCACAGCTCCTGGAAGCAGACAGCATGTCCTTCCAGCTCCTACGCAGATGGATGGCCACGGGGGCTCTGCACACTGCCCCCGCGCTGAGCTCTGATCCGCAGCTCCCAATGCACAGAGGGGTTCCCATGGCTATGGGCTTGCGAGGGTCACAGACCAGCCACACCAGCCAGCTTTACTTATGCTCTGACACTTTGTACCTGCTTTTTGTTAGCACCTGCTTCTCCCGCTCCCCCTCGCATGGGACTTGGAGAGCCACACAGAGAATTGGGGTTGGAAGTTTTCGTTGGTTTTACCAGTAAATCAGACCCTAACCCTGCTTCCCTTTCAGCATCAACAGCCAAACTGGCATTGCCCCAAAAGGGCACAGGCAGTGCAAGCTCCTGGGACTGGCACTACCCATTTATTTTTCTAAGGCACTGTGCACCCACCGCTATGGCATTGCACAAATGGACTCCACGATGGCTGGAATGCCGCTCAGTTGGTGGCTGCTTGGGGGATCCCTGAGAAGCTCCCCTTTCACTGTTTATATAACACTTGCCAAATGTGAATCACTGAAATCAAATAGGCAGCATGAGATCCATTCAGGCTAGAAAAAGGGTTCAGATTTTTAACAGTGAGATTCATTAACCATTGGAATAATTTACCTAGGGACATGGTGGCTTCTCCATCACTTGGAGTCTTTAAATCCAGACTGAGGCGGTGGGGGGCATCTCCTTCTAACAGGCACTCTCAGATCAAGCACCAGTTGCTGGGCAGGATGCAGGAATTCCTGAGTGAGATTCTGTGGCCTGCGTAATGGAAGAGGTCAGATCAGGTGATCACAATGGTTCGTTCTGGCCTTACCCTCTGGGAATCTATGAAATCAAAGTTGGAAAAGGCAACAGCCCAGGAAGGCTCCTTACATTGACTGGTAGCCAGAGAACTCGTGGGGATTTGTGGATTAAATTAAGGAGGAACATTATATTGAACCACCTTTGTGTTTGGCCTGGGTTTCTCCAAGTACACAATAAGTGGGAGATGAGTAGAGAAGCATACTCTAGAATTAGCCTCCCTCAAAAAGGGGCCATTCAACTTGGCATCTTTTCGCATTTCATGGTGCCATCTCAGGCTCTGACAGATCTGCACTGAGCCCCACCGAAGGCAGTGCACTCCCATGGCAATTGGCTCTGCCTGCACAGATCCCATTGCAAGATCTAGTTGTAGTCACACACACTCGCACACCACTACCCCAATATGACTCACACTCCCCAGACCTTGCTCACTGCCTACTACAGCGAGTGAGCGGAGGCCAGCGGGGCCTGAAGTCAGTCTGAGCCCAGAGAAGAGTGGCTGTGCGACAGGCAGGGCAGAGGAGAGACCGGACTGTCCCTTGGCACACCAAGGCCCTGACACCAACTGGTAACGGGTATGTAAATACCATACAAGCTGTTTTATCAACATGTTGGAGGAATGGGGGATGCCAGTAAGTGAAAAACTAAGAGGGAGGGAGTTTGGGTTTGGGAGGGGGTGCTGGATCTGGGGGGCACTCACCTCAGGCGGCTCCCCGCAAGCAGTGACCTGTCCCAGCTGCTCCTAAGCGCACCCCAAGCCCCCTCCCACACCTAAACTCCCTCCCAGAGTCTGCACTCCGCACCCCGTCCGTGCCCCAACCCTCTGCTGACCCCACGCCAACCAGACTATAAACCGGGCTTTCAATGAAGATCAGAAATGCCCATTTAGAGAGCTTTCCGGTTGGTGAAGTGCCAGATAAAGGGACAGGGAAGGGGGTTCAGTTTTGTGCAATTAGAAAGTTGGCAACCCTCGCTGGGGGCACCTGTGCCCAGAATCTCTAAATCTTCTGAAGAACCACTGCTCATCCTCTGAAAAATTTACAGTAAGAAATAAGTGGGAGGCATCTTTTTGTACTTTTTCATAATGTGCTTTTAAAACCTTTAACATTGTGTGTCAAGAGACCCCACCAGCTTGCAGCTTAAATACACAAAAACAATTAGTCCCTGCACACATTTGATCCAAACGGTTCTTGCCAAACGAAGAGTGTGAGACCAGGTCCCCACCAAACCCCCTGGAACGTCCTCACATACAACGTACCTGGGCCTCGTCTCCCTCCTTCCCTTTCTTTGAACCTTTTGAGTGTCCTCCACGGCCGGGTCCCGAGTCTCAAAACAAAACTAGGCTCAGGGATCTGGCCTCGTGATTCTCCTCTACGTGATTCTTGCAGTCACGGCCCTGTCAGCTGTACTGTTTCCCCGCCCCAGGCTCGCCGCGTGAGAGGGTAGATGAGATGAAAGACGCAGGAAGCCAGCAGCAAGAACGGGCTCGGGGGGAGGAGAGGAGGGACACCCCAAGCAGCGTGCGGGGCCTGGGCGGAAGACGACAAGGACAGGGACACGCCTCGCCCCAGAAAGCGTCGGCCGCCGCCCATCTCCCGGTTTCCTAAATCGTTAGCGCCGGGGCAGGGCGCGGGGCCAGGAGCCGGGGCCAGCGGACAGGACCTGGGGCCCGAGGAGCCGGGCGCGGAGGCCGGGACCCAGCAGCAGAGGCGGGGCAGCGGCAAAATGGGCCCTGAGTGGGACCCAGAGCCGGGCCCCGGCCCCGAACCGACCATCCCCCCGCACGACAACTTAGCCCTGTTTCTCAGCCGGCGGCTCGGCCGGCTCGGGGGGCTGGTAGGCGCCCGCCCGTGGCCCTTCCTGCTGCTCCCGCTGCTGCTCTCGGGCGGCCTCGGCGCCGGCTTCCTCTTCTTGCGGCAGAGACAAGCCAACGACATCGAGGGTCAGTTCACGCCGCTCGGGGGACCCGCCAAGAGCGAGAGGCGCTTTGCCCAGGAGCATTTCCCGACCCGCGACTCCGAGCGCTTCTCCGGCCAGAGGCTGCTCACAGAGGGCGCCTTCGCCTCCCTCATCGCGGTCTCCCCCCAGGCGCCAACATCCTGACGGCGGCCGCCTTCGCGGAGCTCCTGCGGCTGGACGGGGCGGTGCAGAGACTCGCTGTTCCCGGCGGGGACCCAGGCACCCAACTCTCCTACCCGGACCTGTGCGTCCGGAACAAAGGGCCCTGCAGCAGCCCCAACCCGCTCCTGGCTGCCGTGCAGGGGGAGCCGGCCCGGCTAGAGACCCTCCTCCCGCAGCTCACTTACCCCGTGTTCCAGAGCAGCGTTTTCATGGGCACCTTCTTAGGCGGCGTTCAGCTGGGTCGCGGAGCGGCCGCCTCCCGGGTGCAGGCAGCCAAAGCCCTGAGGCTGGTTTATTACCTGAGAGAAGACGAAGCCGCGGACCGAGAGAGGAGTTTGCAGTGGCTGGAAAACTTCCTCGAGCGCATCCCGGCTGAGCTGGAGGCTTTAAATCTCACCTCTGTCCAGGTACGGGGCCGAGCAGCCCCCTGGGGCACGGAGCCCTCCCCGGTGTGTGCAGCGGGATCCTCCTGCTGGAGCCCCCGCGCTTCGGGGGCGGGAGAGCCGGAGCGCTGGGCTCTGATCCCAAACCCGGCACCGTTACGGATCCGGAATGAGAGGCAAGGCTCTGAAATGCCACAGGGAGGGGCCGCTTGTGCTGGGTGAAACTAGGAGTTAGTTCAATGGGAATTTTGCCTGAATAAAGAGTGCAGGCCTAGGTCCAGACTATTTCAACCAAATGCTTTGCTCAGGGTCATTCGTCTTCTCTTGGGCTGTGTGCTTAACTGTGTGCTATTTTCTTTCTATTCTTAATGTATGATTTTAGCTATGGCTAACATAGCTAATTACAGCTAAAATCATAATTAAGATATGAAAATAGAAGTGCCTACGATAACTCTCTGAACCCTATTCCTATCATGTTTAAACAGAGGCATACAATAAAAGAGTAGTTTTCAGAGTAACAGCCCTGTTAGTCTGTATTCGCAAAAAGAAAAGGAGTACTTGTGGCACCTTAGAGACTAACCAATTTATTTGAGCATGAGCTTTCGTGAGCTACAGCTCACTTCATCGGATGCATACCGTGGAAACTGCAGCAGACTTTATATACACACAGAGAATATGAAACAATACCTCCTCCCACCCCACTGTCCTGCTGGTAATAGCTTATCTAAAGTGATCATCAAGTTGGGCCATTTCCAACACAAATCCAGGTTTTCTCGCCCTCCACCCCCCCACACAAATTCACTCTCCTGCTGGTGATAGCCCATCCAAAGTGACAACTCTCCACACAATGTGCATGACAATCAAGTTGGGCCATTTCCTGCACAAATCCAGGTTCTCTCACCCCCCTACCCCCCTCCCAAAAACCACACACACAAACTCACTATCCCGCTGGCAATAGCTCATCCAAAGTGACCACTCTCCCCACAATGCGCATGATAATCAAGGTGGGCCACCCCCAGCACAAATCCAGGCCTTCTCACCCCCCCCCCCACCTCCATACACACACAAACTCACTTTCCTGCTGGCAATACCTCATCCAAACTGACCACTCTCAAAGTTTAAATCCAAGTTAAACCAGAACATCCGGGGAGGGGGGGGCGTAGGAAAAAACAAGGGGAAATAGGCTACCTTGCATAATGACTTAGCCGCTCCCAGTCTCTATTTAAGCCTAAATTAATAGTATCCAATTTGCAAATGAATTCCAATTCAGCAGTTTCTCGCTGGAGTCTGGATTTGAAGTTTTTTTGTTTTAAGATAGCGACCTTCATGTCTGTGATTGCGTGACCAGAGAGATTGAAGTGTTCTCCGACTGGTTTATGAATGTTATAATTCTTGACATCTGATTTGTGTCCATTTATTCTTTTACGTAGAGACTGTCCAGTTTGACCAATGTAAATGGCAGAGGGGTGTTATTTAACATGGTTTTTGTTTTTTTTTTTAATGGCAGGTGGCTTACTTTACCTCAGTATCCAGACAGGAAGAGTTTGAAGGAAATACTAAGAAAGTGATCCCCCTGTTTTCCATAACATACTTTCTAACTATAACCTTTTCCATTATTTCTTGTTTAAGGTAAGCTCTTGTCTTCTAAGTTAATCATCTTTTTTTTTTATTTTTTCCATATCATTTATATATTTTATTTAAATTACCTTTTATTTGAATTACAAACTCTTCTTTTTCGTCTGAAAAAGAAGAGTGTGTAATTTGAGACAAGGACCCTCTTGCCTAGTACAGCAGATCCCTAGTCCTCTGTAGGTGATCTACTACTAATAGTAAAAGTCTATGGCTATTAATATTGATACAAAAATGGTAGATAACCTTTAAGTTTTACACGTGAGTAGCTGTAGTGAAGTCAGACATCTTGCCTGAGTGAGAACTACTCACTTGAGTAAGGATTTGCTCAAACATGCCCATATATATATTTTTAAAGAGAGAAACGTGACTTGATGCTTATCTGGTACTGAAAAGCAGATACGTTAAATCAAAACATTATTAGTAAAGTAATTTAGCACAGAGGGACCAATCCTGGAGTAGCAGTTGCAGGGTACAGAGTGCTGTGGCCACCCACAGGTAGGTGGACTAGGCAATGCTTTCTATGTACCTGTGTTAGCACACTTACATAAAACAGGAGAAAAAGAGTGAAGGTGGAAAAATAACCTGGAGGGGAGGGGAGGGGGAAGAGAGCTTTCATGGGCTTTCTTACAGCTGAGCCTGTCCTCCATCAAGGATGTGTTGGGATTCTTTCCTATATAACTAGTTACACCTGCTCCATTGCAAGAGTATCTGAAAATATGGATTTAAGGCAGTTGTCAATGACCAAAATGAGGATCCTGGGCTGCCAGGTTCCAAGGTGAAAATCTTCCCTTCTTGCGCCTCTGCATCTCTAGTTTTGGCCTATGTGAGATCAACCTTTCGTTATGTTACCCTTGAATTGAAAAAAAACATTTTTAAACAAGACAAATACATATGAAATGTTCAAGAAAAACCTGTAATATGAATGTGTGCATTTTGCTGAGTTTCATGTTTTGTTGAATTTTCTGTTTTACTCTTTTTAGGGGTAGGAAAATCTCTTGGTGGTGGTTTGTTTCTGAAACCTCTAGAACAGAGGTTTTCACAATAAATTTTTGGTGTCCTCACAGTGCCACCAAATACTTAATTAACTTTAGTAAAAATAAATAAATATGCACATATACATTCACATAACAGTCAGCATGGATTTGTCAAGAACAAATCATGTCAAACCAGTGTGATAGCTTTCTTTGACAGGGTAACAAGCCTTATGAATAGGGGAGAAGCGGTAGACGTGGTGTATCTTGATTTTAGTAAAGCTTTTGATACTGTCTCGCATGACCTCATAAACAAACTAGGGAAACGCAACTTAGATGGAGCTACTATAAGGTGGTTGCAAAACTGGTTGGAAAACCATTCCCAGAGAGTAGTTATCAGTGGTTCATAGGCATGCTGGAAGGGCATAATGAGTGGGGTCCGACAGGGATCAGTTCTTGGTGCAGTTCTGTTCAATATCTACGTCAATGATTTAGATAATGGCATAGAGAGAGTACACTTATAAAGTTTGCGGATGATACCAAGCTGGGAGGGGTTGCAAGTGCTTTGGAGGATAGGATTAAAATTCAAAATGATCTGGACAAACTGGAGAAATGGTCTCAAGTAAATAGGATGAAGTTCAATAAGGACAAATGCAAAGGACTCCATTTAGGAAGGAACAATCGGTTCCACACATACAAAATGGGAAATGAGTGCCTAGGAAGGAGTACTGCAGAAAGAGATCTGGGGGTCATAGTGGACCACAAGCTAAATATGGATCAACAGTGTAACACTCAATCATTGGAGATTTTTAAGAGCAGGTTGGACAAACACCAGCTAAAATGCTCCTTGTTACTTCTGATGGGTACCTTGAACAGCTTCAACCATGTAGTGTCTCAATGACCGCAGTTAGCTGTGTCTGTCTCTAAGATTTACATGATTCCATCTTGTGTTTAAGATCCTGGTTTATACTGGATCCCCACACTGATTTTTTTCCAGCGTTTTGTGAGAGTCATCTGCATAGATTATGGCTTGGTCCATGAGGCTACTTGCAGTAACTCCACTAATGACAAACAGATCAAACACATACTCCTTGATTTTTACATCTAGTACAGACTTTAAACTGACCCATCAATTTATTTATCACGCAGGGCTATTGAGCACAGTGACTTCTACTGGTCCAGCTTCAGAGTAGAACTTAATCTTGTTAAAAGTTCATTACAAATAAAGGTTTCCTCTGCTCCTGAATCAATTTTAAATGTAACAATAATATTGTAAATCTTGAGATCAAAGCCTGTTCATGAACGCTGTCTTAGAACAGAGATCACAGAAAATAGGCAGTCGCTCTTGCTTAGGATATTTCCCTGACTTCTTTGCGTCAGTAGACACATTCCCTTGTCCTTATTACTTTTTCTACATATGCTTCTACTGTGTGGGCAGACCTCATCTGTTCAGTGTTCTCCCGTGAGACACCTGCTACAATTCAAGCCAGAGAACTCCGTGCTTTAAGATGCAATTTTAAATGGTACTGCTTTTTCCAATAGGAATTATTCCTTTGCCACTTCTTGTATTTCCACCACTCTCTTGCTGAATGACTTGTATTTTCCTTAGATTAGGGTATCATGACACTTGCAGTGCTTGTCCTAAAGCTAACTTAGGCGTTAACTGTATTTTTCTGAAAATTTTTGTCTACAATCCAAACTGCTAGATGATCTCTTGTATATTCTTCCTTAGTGACACCAAAGTCACTATTATCTGCTTATTCATAGAGAGCCCTCAGGAAGGTTTCCATACTTTCTCCTAAGAGCATGCCCATTTGTGTAAAATCTATTCCTTTTTTGAACTGACTGCTCATCAGTCTTTTTAAGAATTATGTTATAATTATTCTTCTCTTTCCTCAGTAAAGTCAAACCACAGATTAGATTATAAAGCAGGGTTGGGCAAATTATGGCCTGGGGGCCACATCCGGCCCTCCATATATTTTAATCTGGCCCTTGAGCTCCCACGAGGGAGCGGGGTCCGGGGCTTGCCCCACTCCAGCCGGGGGTTGGAGTACCCTCCTACACCCCCAAACTCCTCATCCCCAGCCCTACCAGCTTGCCCCGCTCCGTGTGGCTCCCAGAAGCAGCAGCATGTCCCCGCTCCTGCTCCTATGCATAGGGGCAGCCAGGGGGCTCCGCACGCTGCCCCCACCTGAAGCGCCGCCCCCGCATCTCCCATTGGCGAGGAACGATGGCCAATGGGAGCTGCAGGGGTGGAGCCTGCAAACAGGGCAGAGTGCAGAGCCACCTGGCTGTGCCTCCACCTAGGAGCTGGAGAGGGGACATGCCGCTGCTTCTGGGAGCTGCTTGAGATAAATGCCCCCCCAGAGCCTGCACCCCGACCCTCTCTCATGCCGCAACCCCCTGCACCACCCCTAATCCCCCTTCCACCCTCCAAATCCCTTGGTCCCATCCTGGAGCACCCTCCTGCACCGCCTACTCCTCATCCTCAGCACCACCCCTGAGCCCGCACCCCAGCCAAAGCCCTCACCCCCCGCATCTCTGCACCAGCCTGGAGCCCCCTCCCACATCCTGAACTCCTCATTTCTGCCCCCATCCCAGAGCCCACAACTCCAGCTAGAGCCCTCACCCCCTCCCACACCCCAACCCCCAATTTTGTGACCATTTATGGCCCACCATACAATTTCCATATCCAGATGTGGCCCTCGGGCCAAAAAGTTTGCCGACCCCTGTTATAAGGCCAGAAGGGACCGCTGTGATCTTCTCATCTACTCTACTCTTCTGCCTAACACAAGCCGTAGAACATCACTCTATTAATTCCTATTTTAATTAGACCATTTCTTTTAGAAAACATCCAGCCTTGATTTAAAAATTGCCAGCGATGGAGAATCCACCACAGCCCTTTGTATGTTGTTCCAATGATTGATTACCCTCACTGTTAAAATATGTGCCTTATTTTTAGTGTGAATTTGTTTAACTTCAATGTCCAGCCACTGGATCTTGTTATACTTTTGTCTGCTAATGTAAAGAGCCCATTATCACATTTTTGCTCTCTGGGTTTTTATAGATTGATCAGGTCACTCCTTACCCTTCTCTTTGTAAAGCTAAACAGATTGACCTCCTTGAGTCTGCCCCTATAAGGCGTAGTTTTCAATTGTTTCATCATTCTTGTGGATGTTCTCTGAACCCTCTCCAGTTTATCAACATCTGGAACTGGACCGAGTATTCCAATAGCAGTCACATCAGTGCCAAATATAGAGGTAATATAACCTCTCTCAGAGGTGCCAACTTTGGGATTTCCCTGGGGGTGCTGGACCCCTGCTCCACCACAGGCCCCACCCCCGTTCCCCCTCCTCCCTCAGTGCCTCCTGCATGCCATTGAACAGCTATTTTTTTCCCCCGTAGGTGCTCATTGAGCCTCTTTCTGCTCAATATTCCCCTATGTCTACATCCAAGGATCGCATTAGCCCTTTTGGCCACAGTGTTGCACTGGTAACTTGTGTTCAGCCAAGTCTTTTTCAGAGTTACTCCTTCCCAGAACAGAATCCCCCGTCCTGTAAGAATGGCCTACAGTCTTTGTTCCTAAAAGTATAACTTTAACTTTACAATTTAAAGCTTAAACTTCTGGCCTTATTAAAATGCATATTGTTTGCTTGCCAGCTTACCAAAAGGTCCAGATTGCTCCTTATCAGTGACTTGTCCTCACCATCAATCTTTGTGTCACCTGAAAGCTTAATCAGTGATGATTTTATGTTTTCTTCCATGTCCTTAATAAAAACGTTATATAGTGCGGGGCCAGGAACTGATCGCATTGGGACCCCCCTAGACACGCACTACCTTGATGAGGAGTTCCTATTTGCAATTACATTTTGTGAGCTGTCAGGGAATTTTTAATCCATTTATAGACATTTACAGCTTCACTCCTAATAAACTTCCCTGGGCATTACTGTTCCCTGTGATAAGCATCATTAGGGCTCACAATCTTGTAATATGCTCCTTCCACTCAGGCCATTCCATGTATGTGCCAGACTGAAAGACTTGTAGAGAGAAGGAACTTTGGCATTTTCTTTTCCTCTTATGTCCTAAATTAGTCAATGTCTGACACTATGTCATGTGACAAATGTAAGGACTTACAGAAGAAGATGCTGTCCCCTGAGCAGAAAAAACTTGATTCGAATAAGGAAAACAATGTTATTACTAAAAAGAAAAGGAGTACTTGTGGCACCTTAGAGACTAACCAATTTATTTGAGCATGAGCTTTCGTGAGCTACAGCTCACTTCATCAGATGTTTACCGTGGAAACTGCAGCAGACTTTATATACACACAGAGAATATGTGTGTATATAAAGTGTGTATATAAAGTCTGCTGCAGTTTCCACGGTAAACATCTGATGAAGTGAGCTGTAGCTCACGAAAGCTCATGCTCAAATAAATTGGTTAGTCTCTAAGGTGCCACAAGTACTCCTTTTCTTTTTGCGAATACAGACTAACACGGCTGTTCCTCTGAAAAATGTTATTACTAAAGCCACTCTTTCTCTCTCTGCTTCACTGTAGAGTTTCTATCTATAACTTTCCCCAGCCCTTTCCTGCCTGGTTTTCTGTGACAGCTTTAAAGAAACGGTTCACATAGCCATGCACTAGTTGTATGTAAATGTTCAGTAGGACATTTTCATAATATCTGCTAGAGAGATTGATTCTGTAAGGCAGTGAGCATCTCTTGCAAGATGCGTAGATGCTGCCTTGATGGGCATGCTATAAAGCAGGGATGGGCTAACTTTTTGGCCTGAGGTCCACATCGGGGAATAGAAATTGTATGGCGGGCCATGAATACTCACAAAATTGGGGTGGGGGTGCGGGCTGTGGAGTAGGGCTGGGGATGAGGAGTTTGGGGGTGTAGGAGGGTGCTCTGGGTTGAGACCGAGGGGTTCGTAGGGCAGGAGGGGGATCAGGGCTGGGGCAGGGGTGCAGGTTCCATCTGGGGTGCAGGCTCTGGGGTGGGGCTGGGGATAAGAGGTGTGGGGTGCAGGAGTGTGCTTCAGCCTGGGATCAAGGGGTTGGGGCGTGGGGAGAGACTCAGGGGGTGCAGGCTCCGAGCAGTGCATACCTCAAGCGGCTCCCGGAAGCAGTGGCATGTCTCTTCTCCAGCTACTTTGCAGAGGTGCGGCCAGGCGGCTCTATACACTGTCCCATCCTCCGGCACCGCCCCTGCAGCTCCCATTGGAGCGTGTAGGAGCCGGAGCGGGGCCCTACCATGGCTTCCGGGAGCTGCATGGTGCAGCTCCCGACACAGCGCCCCACACTGCTCAGGCAACATGCCTAGGAGTCAAAGAAAACTGAAAAGTGGGTCTGGTTTACATGATCAGGGTAGGTAGGTGGCACCATAATACTTTCTTTTTACTCATTGTTGTGTGATGGGGGAATAGAGAGCTACAACAATTCTGATGTCAGTTAAACTCATGCAACTACACTGAGTCACTGGTTGTGCATTTTAAATTGAAGGACTGATTTGGCCCATGTTGTGACTTTAAAATGTTAATACCTGAAACTCTCATTAAAGTATTAATGAGACTCATGTAACCAAAGTTGCTTTTACCAAACATGATATATAAAATTTCTATATTATAAGGATTTTGCATGCCATTACATATTTTATATTATTTATAATATAATTGTATAATATAAAAACACAGCATTTAAAATCTAAACTAGATGCTTTTTACACAATTTTCCAGGGTTGACTGTGTACAGAATAAAGTGTGGGTTGCAGCATGTGGAGTGCTGTCTTCTGGGTTAGCTGTGCTAAGCAGCTTTGGACTGTTGCTGTTCTGTGGGATACCATTTGACATGACTGTAGCAAATGCACCATTTCTTATACTGGGTAAGTGACAAGGAATTGGGCTTGATGGAAAAAATGGAACTGCAAAATGTGCCTAGTGGGAGATTATGTTTACATGGCATGAATCAGGGATCAGCACAATTATAAGTTAAGACCACTGGGTATGATAGTCGTTTTCCAGGTGTTTATCCATCCTGTTATTCAGCAGTGCAGAATGTGCAAAATAAGGGCTCACTTGTAATGGTTTATAGCAGGAAGTACAGCAGCAGAGGGCCGTTCAGCTCAGTGTGAGGTTGAAGGTGAATCCATGCTCCGAAAAGCAGTTCTGTATTTTCCATTGCATGGATGAGAGGTCTACCTCATTATCCCAGAGGTGCTTTCTCTTTCAGAGAAATGTGGTGAGAGAGAAAGAGAGATCTCACCTAAAGAGATCGCACCATGGGAAAATGTAATACATTACCTCGTATATGGAGGGGGTGTGTGGCATTTATTTTCTGTGGGTCCATAACTTCGCTTGGTGTGAACACAATGCTTATTGCTCAGCTTAAGTCATTGCTTGTTTTGCAATTTTGCTATTTTCCATTAAAAATTGATATTGATGGTATGTACAATAAGTTGACCTTTTCCCTTTTGTAGGGGTTGGTGTTGATGACATGTTCATTATGATCTCCTGCTGGCAACAGACTAATCCTAAAAATAAAGTTGAAAAGCGGATGGCTGAAACTTATGCAGAGGCAGCAGTGTCTATCACAATCACCACTCTCACTGATGTTTTAGCTTTCTACATAGGGATCATGACTTCCTTTCAGTCTGTGAAGTCCTTTTGTCTCTACACAGGAACTGCTTTCATCTTCTGCTATTTATACAACATCACATTTTTAGGAGCTGTTCTTGCTTTAAATGGTAAAAGGGAAGAAGGCAACAGACACTGGTTAATTTGCACAAAAGTGAAAGACATTGTTCCGCCTCATCACTCCTGCTTGTACAACATGTGCTGTGTAGGAGGGTTTTCTGATAAGTCTTCTTGGGCCGAAGGTGAACATCCAATGAACAAATTCTTTAGGAAATATTATGGTCCTTTCCTTACAAAGATCTGGACCAAAGTGTTTGTGGTGTTGCTGTATGGAGGGTTCCTGGCTAGTAGTATTTATGGGTGTACTCAGATGAAGGAAGGTATAGACCTGCGAAATCTGGCTAGTGACGATTCTTATGTCATTCAGTACTATGACTGGGAAGATGAATATTTCTCAGAGTACGGTCCCAGGGTTATGGTCACTATCACAGAAAATGTACCTTATTGGAATCTATCCATTCGTAATGACATTGAGAACTGTATGGAGTCTTTAGAAAATAACTCCTATGTGGAGAAGAGTCTCTCAGAGTCATGGCTACGAATGTATGAGAATGTTGCTAGAATCGGTTCACTGAATATAGATACTAAGGCGTTTTTCATGGGTAATCTATCTGAACTATATAAATTATTTCCAGAATTTGAATGGGACATTGATATTCGCTATAAGGAAATAGCAGCCTCACGTTTTTTCATTCAAACAGTGAATGTTACTACTGCAGTTGATGAGAAGAACCTTTTACACCAATTAAGAGACCTAGCCAAGGACTGTAAGATCCCATTAATGGTATATCACCCAGCATTCATATACTATGATCAGTATATTGTAATAGTGCCAAACACCATTCAGAATATTGCAATTGCTACTGGAGTCATGTTGTGTGTTTCCTTGCTGCTTATTCCCAATCCGCTCTGCTCCTTGTGGGTAACTTTTGCGATTGCTTCTGTTATTGCTGGCGTTGCTGGTTTCATGACATACTGGAATGTTAATCTTGATTCCATATCTATGATTAACCTTGTCATTTGCATCGGGTTTTCAGTAGATTTTTCTGCTCATATATCCTATGCATTTGTTTCAAGTGAAAAGTCAACTGTCAATGAAAGGGCAGTTGATGCCCTGTATCTGCTAGGTTACCCGGTGATCCAAGGTGCTATCTCCACTATATTAGGAGTAATTGTGCTGTCTGCAGCAAAAGCTTACATCTTCAGAACATTTTTTAAGATTATGTTTCTCGTTATCTTGTTTGGAGCTGTTCATGGTCTTGTTTTTATTCCAGTATTTTTAACATTTTTTGGAATTCGAGGCAGATCATCACACAAAAGGGTAAATATAAAAACAAGAGGAAAAAACAGCAGCTCTTTTAGTGACGCACAAAGTCCAAGTAATGTATCAAACAGCTTCATGCTGAAGGAAAAATAAATCCAGATTGCTCATCAATTTACATACAATTTAAAATACAGCATATCAGCCAAAAAGAACATGCTGAAGGTTTCAAAACATTAATCTGCAGATTTAAATTAGCATTGTATGAAAATGTCAGTTTTCTACTGTTCAGGATTAACACTTAATGGGATTAGCTCAAAGCCCACTAGGGAACTTTTAGCGCACCATAGCAGGGTCCACATGGACAGTTACTACACAGCATGCAAGTATGCTGTAGATTATACCCCAGTTTGCAATGGACAAGCTGTTCATCCTGATAAGCCCTTAGATCATTAGAGAAAACATGGGTTAAGTAAAATGATATCACAATAATAGAATATTACCAAACCAAAAAAAATTGGTTAAAATACATTTGAAGTTAAAAGCATGTTCTCTTGATCTTATATATTCTGTGTTAAATGCCCAATAAAGATTTCAAAAGGAATATAAATTATGCCAGCATTATTTGAGCTTTCTCACAGTGTACTCTCATGAAGTTTAAATGTAGGCATCCCTGTATTACCATGGAAGCAGACAAATTGTTAAAGCGGTTGATTGAAAACCAGGCCTAGGAACAGCAGCAGCACTTAAGGACTGCAACGACTGGCAACTCAGCAACAGCAGGTTATTGCACAAGAGCAGGAGCAATCTGGGACCTTTGCAGCAGAAGCTGAGTTGCCACCTTTGGCTAGTCTGGCCTTATCAGCAATCACCCTGTTTAATAGACACCCTCTGAGCCATGGCCGTCCCTAGCCATTTTGGTGTCCTACGCAGCCACCTCCGTGCGGGGTGTGTGTGTGTGGGGCCCCAGGCCTCCGAGGGGGGGGCAGGAGCAGGCTTTGGGGGTAGTGGGGAAACCGTCCCCCAGCACGAGCCAGTGGAGTGGAGCGGGTTGGGGCCGGGTCGCTCCACTTCCTGCTGCCCGGTGAGTGCAAGGCAGTCCCGACCCCACACTCACGGGGCAGCAAGAAGTGGAGTGACCCAGCCCCAGCCCGTGCCGCTCTGCTCTCCTGGCTCCCAGTCAGCACGCAATTGTTTTGGGATCTCTGGTCTTGGTGGCTTAAATTTGAGATTAGTTATTGGTGGTGGAGAAATCTAGAAAGATTCTGCCAGACAGACCATGAGAATGGAACTGTTGGTATCATACCGAACAGACAGCTGCAGATGTGTATCTCCTGGATGACGACATGGGAGCTGAACCCCTCCCAGGGAATGACACTTCCTCAATGGGAAAGATGCAGGATCTCTTTTGTAACTGCAGACCCAACTGATTTGACCTGCCTACAGGAGAGTGTAATGAATAGGGCCCTACCAAATTCACGGCCATGAAAAATGCATCACAGATGGTGAAATCTGGTTTCCTCCCGTGAAATTTGGTATTTTGTGTGCTTTTACCCTACACAATACAGATTTAATGGGGGAGACCAGGATTTCTCAAATTGGGGGTCCTGACCCAAAAGGGAGTTGCAGGGGGGTCGCAAGGTTATTTTAGGGGTGTCATGGTATTGCCACCCTTACTTCTATGTGCCCTCAGAGCTGGATGGCCGGAGAGCAACAGCTGTTGGCTGGGTGCACAGCTCTGAAGGAAGAGCCCTGCTAGCAGTAGCACAGAAGTAAGGGTGGCAATACCATACCATGCCAGACTATGAGCTGCAGAGACATGCAGACCACTTCCAGGGAGCTCCCGCCCCATGGTAAGTGCTTCCCCAACGCCTCTGCCACAGCTCTGAGTCCCCTCCCACACCCAAACTGCCCCAGCAGTGGCTGGTGAGGCTGGCCTAGGGGCTGCCTGAACTGTTTGAGCAGCCCCAGAGCCAGCCGCACCGGCCACTGCAGAAGTCATGGAGGTCATGAAAAGTCAGAATTCATTACTTTCTTGACGTCCATGACAGACACACAGCCTTAATCATTATACATACAGAATAAAGCTCTTAGGTAAGTTTCATAGTAGAGAGGGTGAGCTGCTGAGTTGCAAAAAGTTCTTTCCAGAATCAGTTCATCAGGTTATAGTCCAAATATGTAGACCATATATAGAGTTTGTTCTAACTCTTCCATGTGAAAGAGCAGAGTAATCCATACTGGAGCTGGAGACCTCAGTCTTGCGATTCAAGCTTCCCTTGACCAAGTTTAAGCAGATCTGAGGCACAGAATTGGGGCCTAGAGTTATTATAGATTTCTGGCAGGCTGTGGATAGCCTCTTGACAGCAGGAATTCCTTGGGTGAAACATTGTGGCTTTGAATTAAAATCTCCTATTTCCTATGTATACCCAGGTAATCAGTTGCATTCATCAGTATAAGGTAATTAACCATTAAACAGTTCATAGATAGTTCACTACAAACTTCAAAGAGAAATATAGACAATGATATTATTACACTCGTTTCATCTAAACGTTAATATTCCTTCTGATCTGTGAATCAACAGAATATAATAACTGCCAAGAACCACTGGTTACACTGTTTAACAAGATGTAAGTAAACACATATGAATACCTTTTAGTATTTACCTAACAGTACAGGTTTGCATTTCAAAGCTCTAGTCTATCTAACATGGCTTCGTTAGCTATTTATAAGGAATGGCCCTAATTACCATTTTACATACTTTTCTAATATGTCTTTAAAGGTAGAATTTGGGTCATTTAGCCAGCAAATTGCTTAACCCTTTCTGGCTCAGTGTCACATACGGCAAGGAGAAGACAAGGCCAAAGAGCACCTTACTGAAGTAATGTGGGGACAGAGTGAATATGTTTGGCAATAAATTTGTATTTCTTAATGAAGGGACACAAGCTGGGCCATCCTTAGGATTTATGGGGCCCTACGCAGTATTATTAAACTGGTGCCCCTATGCCCGACGGCAACCCGGGCTCACAGCCCGGGGGTGGGAGAGCGAGGCAGCAAAGGATACTGAGCCTCCCAGCCTGCCTCATGGTGGTGGAGAGTCACAGTTCCCCGCAGAAACCCCTGTGCCCTCTCCCTCATGCAGAATGTGCAGCGCCAGTGCATTCGGCTCTATGAATACGGCCTCTGCCTAAGGAGACTGCAGCGCGCCCTGGGTGTGTGGGAGCTGACCCATTCTTACCTGCGGTCATGGGCAGTGGGTGAAGCTGCCGCTTGGGGAGGCTAGCTCCCCAGCCCACCTCTTCTGCCTGTGGCCCCGTCCCCACTCTGCCCAGGCCCCGCCCTCTCCCCACTGTCTCCCTCTTCCCCCCCCACTCACCCCCTTCCAGCCAAATCCCTGAACTCAAATGACGCAAATGACATTTGAAAAAAACACTCTTCTGCAATTTCTTTCTAAAGAAAATGGAGCATGTTTTCCACTGCATGCGAGAAGGTGAAGATTGGACATGCAGAAGGTACCTAATTAAAAGCACTAAACTTGGGAATAAAAATGGCAGTCACAGGTTTTTTTGATATATCCTGAAGTTTGTCAGAGATTTATTTGCAAAAACTTTGTAGTAAGGGCAAATCAGCTGTCCTGCTGAATACAACATTAAATATTATGGACTACATGATGCAGCTTTTCTCTGTTTTACATTTTCTTAATCAGTATTTCTAAGGTGATTTTATATTTTAAATGTACTCTTAAGCCTTCATAAAGTAATCATTCCAGATTACTACATATTTAACTCACTGAAACAAAGACATTATTTTAAATTCATCAGTCACAGAGGTTTAGTGTGTTCATAACAATGTTCATTGCTTTTAGAAAAAGGGAACACTAATTTATTCTGTGTAATCTCCATAACAATAGACATGTTTATGAAATTTCACCAACTTTAAAAAATATGTTTCCAAAGATTTTAGGCATAAGAAATAAGAAAGGATTTTATATCTTGCTAAGGTATTGATTTTGCTGGAGGGTTGTCTTAAAACTAGTTCATCAAATAGTTAGAGGTAAAGAAAGGGAAACTCGTTTGTCCAGCTATTTGGAAGGAAAGGGGTGTTCATAGAATCATAGAATATCAGGGTTGGAAGGGACCCCAGAGGGTCCTCTAGTCCAACCCCCTGCTCGAAGCAGGACCAATTCCCAGTTAAATCATCCCAGCCAGGGCTTTGTCAAGCCTGACCTTAAAAACCTCTAAGGAAGGAGATTCTACCACCTCCCTAGGTAACGCATTCCAGTGTTTCACCACCCTCATAGTGAAAAAGTTTTTCCTAATATCCAATCTAAACCTCCCCCACTGCAACTTGTTGTCTGTTGAAGGGCTCTCTTCAACAGGGGAGTGAAGGGAGAAAAGGATGGACAGAAAGGACAGGAAGACTTTGGAAGCAAGTTTTTTGTACTGTAGTAATTAAAATTAAAATGTGTATTTTAGATAAGAGTGGTCTTTTGAAAGATTTATTTAAAAAACTATATGACTGAAGATCCAAGGATTTAAGGCTAAAGATGAATACTCAGATTGTGAATCTAAAAATCTATGCAAGGATTTTTTAGAGATGTGATTTTGTCAGTAAATTCAGAAACTAACAGTATATACCTGGGGGTTGGCAAATGCCTGTTAAATGGCTTCATTACCACTTGAATGGCTCTTTAACAGTTTCAGTGTTGTGCTAATAGGTCTGGCAGGCTGGAAGGCTTTTTCACTTTTAAGTTACAAGATCCCCTCTGGAGGAAGATTCACCAGGCTGCAGCAGCTAGCTGTGGGAGCCTGCAGGAAGGGTCAGAAGAGGGATAGGAAGAGGTGGGAGCATGGACACTAAGACCCAGGGGTGCCCCAAATTTTCAGGTGCCCTATGCAGCCGCGTATGCTGTGTATGCCTAAGGACAGCCCTGGACACAAGAGAGGTGAGTATTAGGTTTAGAAAAACTTCTCTACTCCAGGCAAAACCAACTTCCACAATGAACAGTGAGGATGGCCCATCACAAACCACTTTAGTTAATGGGCAGGTAGGTCTCTGAAACCCAGTTTCTTGGGTGAGTCATTCAGTCTTTGAAAGGACACTCAAAGACGGGGGGGGGGGGGGGGGCAAGAAAACCTGGATTTGTGCTGGAAATGGCCCAACTTGATTATCATACACATTGTAAGGAGAAAAGGAGGACTTGTGGCACCTAGAGACTAACCAATTTATTTGAGCATAAGCTTTCGTGAGCTACAGCTCACTTCATCGGATGCATACTGTGGAAAGTGTAGAAGATCTTTTTATACACACAAAGCATGAAAAAATACCTCCCCCCACCCCACTCTCCTGCTGGTAATAGCTTATCTAAAGTGATCACTCTCCTTACAATGTGTATGATAATCAAGTTGGGCCATTTCCAACACAAATCCAGGGTTTAACAAGAACGTCTGGGTGGGGGGTAGGAAAAAACAAGGGGAAATAGGTTACCTTACATAATGACTTAGCCACTCCCAGTCTCTATTCAAGCCTAAGTTAATAGTATCCAATTTGCAAATGAATTCCAATTCAGAAGTCTCTCGCTGGAGTCTGGATTTGAAGTTTTTCTGTTGTAATATCGCAACTTTCATGTCTGTAATCGCGTGACCAGAGAGATTGAAGTGTTCTCCGACTGGTTTATGAATGTTATAATTCTTGACATCTGATTTGTGTCCATTTATTCTTTTATGTAGAGACTGTCCAGTTTGACCAATGTACATGGGAGAGGGGCATTGCTGGCACATGATGGCATATATCACATTGGTGGATGTGCAGGTGAACCAGCCTCTGATAGTGTGGCTGATGTTATTAGGCCCTGTGATGGTGTCCCCTGAATAGATATGTGGGCACAATTGGCAACGGGCTTTGTTGCAAGGATAGGTTCCTGGGTTAGTGGTTCTGTTGTGTGGTAAGTGGTTGCTGGTGAGTATTTGCTTCAGGTTGGGGGGCTGTCTGTAGGCAAGGACTGGCCTGTCTCCCAAGATTTGTGAGAATGTTGGATCATCCTTCAGGATAGGTTGTAGATGCTTAATAATGCGTTGGAGGGGTTTTAGTTGGGGGCTGAAGGTGATGGCTAGTGGCGTTCTGTTATTTTCTTTGTTAGGCCTGTCCTGTAGTAGGTGACTTCTGGGAACTCTTCTGGCTCTATCAGTCTGTTTCTTCACTTCCGCAGGTGGGTATTGTAGTTGTAAGAATGCTTGATAGAGATCTTGTAGGTGTTTGTCTCTGTCTGAGGGGTTGGAGCAAATGCGGTTATATCACAGAGCTTGGCTGTAGACGATGGATCGTGTGGTGTGGGCAGGGTGAAAGCTGGAGGCATGTAGGTAGGAATAGCGGTCAGTAGGTTTCCGGTATAGGGTGGTGTTTATGTGACCATCGTTTATTAGCACTGTAATGTCCAGGAAGTGGATCTCTTGTGTGGACTGGACCAGGCTGAGGTGGATGGTGGGATGGAAATTGTTGAAATCATGGTGGAATTCCTCAAGGGCTTCTTTTCCATGGGTCCAGATGATGAAGATGTCATCAATATAGCACAAGTAGAGTAGGGGGCGTTAGGGGATGAGAGCTGAGGAAGCATTGTTCTAAGTCAGCCATAAAAATGTTGGCATACTGTGGGGCCATGCGGGTACCCATAGCAGTGCCGCTGATTTGAAGGTATACATTGTCCCCAAATGTAAAATAGTTATGGGTAAGGACAAAGTCACAAAGTTCAGCCACCAGGTTAGCCGGGACATTATCGGGGATAGTGTTCTTGACGGCGTGTAGTCCATCTTTGTGTGGAATGTTGGTGTAGAGGGCTTCTACATCCATAGTGGCCAGGATGGTGTTATCAGGAAGATCACCGATGGATTGTAGTTTCCTCAGGAAGTCAGTGGTGTCTCGAAGGTAGCTGGGAGTGCTGGTAGCGTAGGGCCTGAGGAGGGAGTCTACATAGCCAGACAATCCTGCTGTCAGGGTGCCAATGCCTGAGATGATGGGGCGCCCAGGATTTCCATGTTTATGGATCTTGGGTAGTAGATAGAATATCCCAGGTCGAGGTTCCAGGGGTGTGTCTGTGCGGATTTGATCTTGTGCTTTTTCAGGGAGTTTCTTGAGCAAATGCTGTAGTTTCTTTTGGTAACTCTCAGTGGAATCAGAGGGTAATGGCTTGTAGAAAGTGGTGTTGGAGAGCTGCTGAGCAGCCTCTTGTTCATATTCCGACTTATTCATGATGACAACAGCACCTCCTTTGTCCTTCAGGAGGAGTCCACCTAGAATCCTTCTTTTTGTAGTGTTGGTAGGGAGGTCTCTGTGGATTAGTATGTTGTTTAGAGGTATGTTGGAAATATTCCTTGAGTCAGAGACGTCGAAAATAGGATTCTAGGTCACCACAGAACTGTATCATGTTCGTGGGGGTGGAGGGGCAGAAGGAGAGGCCCCGAGATAGGACAGCTGCTTCTGCTGGGCTAAGAGTATAGTTGGATAGGTTAACAATATTGCTGGGTGGGTTGAGGGAACCATTGCTGTGGCCCCTTGTGGCATGTAGTAGTTTAGAAAGTTTAGTGTCCTTTTTCTTTTGTAGAGAAGCAAAGTGTGTGTTGTAAATGGCTTGTCTAGTTTTAGTAAAGTTCAGCCATGAGGAAGTTTGTGTGGAAGGTTGGTTTTTTATGAGAGTATCCATTTTTGAGAGCTCATTCTTTATCTTTCCCTGTTTGCTGTAGAGGATGTTGATCAGGTGGTTCCGCAGTTTCTTTGAGAGCGTGTGGCACAAGCTGTCAGCATAGTCTGTGTGGTATGTAGATTGTAATGGATTTTTTACCTTCAGTCCTTTTGGTACGATGTCCATCTGTTTGCATTTGGAAAGGAAGATGATGTCTGTCTGTATCTGTACAAGTTTTTTCATGCAGTTGATAGATTTCCACTCCATACGGCTAAATGCAGTGCCTTGCATAATGACAGGTTTCAGAGTAACAGCCGTGTTAGTCTGTATTCGCAAAAAGAAAAGGAGTACTTGTGGCACCTTAGAGACTAACCAATTTATTTTAGCATAAGCTTTCGTGAGCTACAGCTCACTTCATCGGATGCATACTGTGGAAAGTGTAGAAGATCTTTTTATACACAGAAAGCATGAAAAAATACCTCCCCCCATCCCACTCTCCTGCTGGTAATAGCTTATCTAAAGTGATCACTCTCCTTACAATGTGTATGATAATCAACATACAGACGTTCTTGTTAAACCCTGGATTTGTGCTGGAAATGGCCCACCTTGATTATCATACACATTGTAAGGAGAGTGATCACTTTAGATAAGCTATTACCAACAGGAGAGTGGGGTGGGGGGAGGTATTTTTTCATGCTTTGTGTGTATAAAAAGATCTTCTACACTTTCCACAGTATGCATCCGATGAAGTGAATTGTAGCTCATGAAAGCTTATGCTCAAATAAATTGGTTAGTCTCTAAGGTGCCACTAGTACTCCTTTTCTTTTTGCGAATACAGACTAACACGGCTGTTACTCTGAAACCTGTAATTATACTGCAGTCCCTCCCAGGTAGCGGGGGCTAGATGGTGACTGGCAGTAGCTAAAGATTGAGGCGAGGTGAGGATAGAGGGCGGGGGTTCCCCGGCGGGGAGACCCAGATCTGTGGGGGTAC